CGACAGTTACGAACAGTTTGGAGCACTGCTCCAAATACTGTTTATGTTATAGTTCACTATGATTTCCCAGCAGAGCCTATGCATACAACCCCCGAACCATTTCCACCGACCTGAGTTTGGCCACAATGTTGGAGACTGATTTGGAAATCGTGGGCAGTACTTGGTTCCTCTCGCTTTCTCATCAATATTTGTTTTTTTTCCTACCTACATGTATATAAGCTACAAATTAAACTAAGTACAACTGACTATTAAAGGATGAAAAGTTTTCGCGGATTTTGACGTCATTCGAAGGTGGTGGGGATTTCGTGCAAATCTATGAATTTGTTTTGCTCAGGCTAAGTCTTGAAAAAAACTAGGTAAAAATTCACTTTTTTTATCCATAATGCTGCTTCAACATTTTAACAAGAAAAATCTGAAATTGATGTTAAAAATTGACACAAAACATTTTTGATTTATTTAAAATGAAATAATCTCTTATGGCATGTCCCTAATTTGTATTTAGATACATTGTATTTATTTTCAATTTTTCTAATTGAATTTCCACCTATATTGCATATGATCCATTACTGTAGATAATTAGGTTAAAATAAAAAATTGTATTTTTTATAAATACTAGCTTAGATTCAGGGGGCATATCATAGATTCGGGGTTGGAGACAAGACCCTTAAAATGACCCTGGTTTAAAGTCACTCAAGCTAGAGGTTTACTAACTAACCTATAAGATCGTTAATGAAGTGAGAAATTTATATTGCAATGTTTGATAGAGGAAGGTTAATGGTTGATGAGATCGAGGAAGTAATTTTTCGGGAATGTGTTCCATAAATTATAAACTCTGAAGAAGAAGCTGAGTGGAATACCTCCTTCGGTCAGTTATGTTCCATGCGTGATACATGACTGACGAGGCATATTTTTTTCCCGCCATTAGGGCGCCATTTTCTTCTACGGTACACTTGTTGCCATCCAAGGTTATAGAACCCGGTCTGTCCTATTACTTACCCACTTAAGAGAATTTAATAGATTCAACTTGAATTCGAACTCGGCTCTCCGATTCCTCAATCCGAGCCGCTATCCATTCCTCCACCGTCACATGCTACTACTCCTTACTAATGGAATACGAAGGGAATAAGAATGAGCCGACTCTGGTGGAACTAAGACTTTCGGATCACCCTGTAGTTCACCAGATTATCTGCCATGAAAATAATGATAAAATAGGAGGGGGCAGCTGATATGTGGAAAAACATTATTTATTTATAGCAATTTTATCATTATAATCTTGACTTTCTAATTATGAGTATAACGATTACTTCAACTAGTATATATATATATATATATATATATATATATATATATATATATATATATATATATATATATATGATATTTCATTTTGTGCTAATATGGATTTAGATCATTTCAGCATTACTATCACGAGTAATAGAGGAATAGACAGCGAAGGAAAGAACAGAAACTCAAGAATAAATTTTTTTTTTTCTTGTAAAATCATTTTGCGTGCATCTGTCGAATTCACATCATCTGTTTCCTAAGTGGGTTCCTGTCAGAGTGACGTAATTACTGAAATTTGGTCGTCTGACTGAGTCTCAATTCGATCATCTGGTACTATTTTCTGTCTCGTAATTTTCTGCGCGCAATCGTTCCTATCTCAGAAAGACAAACCTGGTTTGCTTTCAGGAAATTATTACACGGTTGGGGAGGTCATCAGGTACGTCTGGGGGATCATACACTAGTGCAGAGAGTTTGATCTTCAGTGGGTGCACAGATATTGAGGCCTTCTGTCAGACATGACTAAGTTCAATAGATGACGAAGAGGTATTTCAACAGTTTGGAATTTCAAATAATAAAATTTGTTTGATTAAAAATAAAATTAAAGCTGGAAAGAGGTTTATTATCACTAGAGATGTCAGTCCTCCAGTTTGGCAGTGAGTGCTAGACAATCTCCTCACAGACGAAGAAAAGACTTGAAGCAACAGAAATGTGGTTCTACAGAAGGATGCTGTGAGGATACCATTGACCAAACATGTGAGATACGACGAAGTTTTAAACTAAATAGAAACACTAAGAATACTTATACTTAACATCAAAAAAATTTCTGTTGCGCATGATGAGGAAAGAGGGCTTGGTATATTTGACACTCACAGAACATATTAAATAATCTAGCTCATGACCTTGTGTAAATGGGTGGCAGAACAGAGTTCAGGAGAGAACAGGTCGATTCATAACTTCCCCAAGTGTATTTACACCTAAGTGAATATAACAAACCCGAACGGAATTGGAACTCGGCTCGCCGATTAACAATTCAGAGTTATTATCTCTTACACCACCCGCACATCCAAGTTTCCAGAACCTAGTATGCTTAAGCGGTCACCCATCTAGCTACTGACGAGGTTCAAATTTGCTTAACTTTGCTGATCGTACTGGAAGTCTTTTATGGTAACACGAGGCATATTTGGTTATTGCTCTCGAGTAAAGTCAAGTAAATATTTTTTTTATCCTTAACAATAACGTAAAAATATTATTATATCACATATTGTAAAAAAGAAATAATTATAGTTTTAAACAGATTTGTTGTCCTAACATGAGATAGCCGTACACCGACGATTATATAACGGTGATAACAATAGAAATATCTATATTTACAATAATTACAAAGAAAGATTGCAAATGGCAGAAAGAAAACATCGTAAAAACAAACAGTAAACTATAAGAGATCCAAACTATCTGGGTTATATGACGAGGAAAGAGGGCTTGGAAAGTTTGGTACTCAAAGGATTAACTGAAGGCAAGAGAAACAATAAAAAAAACGAATAGCCTACCTAACAATATGCTGTAAATGACTGACAGAACACTGACTGGGAGTGTACGGAAGATCAGCTTGCGCAAACGATAATTATACAAAATTACATCTGTCTATATTTCTGAGATGAGGTATTATGCTCACTATTTACATTATTCAGACTATTGTCCTTATCTTTGTTGCCATATTTATTACAACGTTTCGGCCTTCTTCAGGTGGAACCCTTTAATTCACCTCTCCAAGTTCTCTACTACCATAACCAGGTATTGAACTCACAACTCTTTGGGTCCTATCACTGGATCTAACCAACGCCTTTATCCTTAAGGACATCTGTGTATGAATTTCTGGGACTTATAAACTTAATGTCTTCAGCAACTATTTTTTTTTACCAATGCTCATATTGCAATTTTTGCTGTTATCTTTGCAATATGAGCTCTGATAAAAAATATAAATGAACTAACAGGAGGTAACTGACATCCATTAGACATGGCACGTGGAACTAGAACAGTCTACCCCAGCGAGCGAAATAAAGGGTTCAGTTCAACATTCCAACCACCTGAAGAAGGCCGGAGCGTACAACGGCCGAAACGTTGTGATAAATATGGCAACAAAGATGAGGACAATATTCAGAATAATGTAAATAGCGTACAAAATTACAGTGTGTTTAATTTTATAAACGAGCTCCGTTCTTTAGTTTAACAAGTTCAGACATGGAAAGATTTGCCATCCTACGCCCACATGATAGGGATGAATCACCCCCACCCAATTCTTTCTGTTTTTCATTTATAAGAAGAAAGTTTAATTCAGAAAGCGTCTTTTCAAGAACTGCTGCTATGTGGAACGGACTCTCACGTGGATGCGTTCTCAAACACTACACTCTTAACCTATTCAAGTTCAGGGTCACTTGTTATCTATACTCACATCCAACCACCTCCTCTCACGTTCATATCACACTATTCATTCACGGGGACTACGTAGAAATATGACATATTTTTTCTTCATAAGTGGAAATAAAAGTTTTATCTCGGAATTGCATTATTTACACTGTTCGGAATGTTGTCCTCATCTTTATTGTCAAATTTACGACGTTTCGGCCGATCTACATTCCGGCCTTCTTCAGGTGATATACGTTGGAATTTCCAACCGGATCCTTTATTTCGTCCAAGGGGAAAGATTGTTTTAGTTCCACTAAGCAGACATGTGTTCCGAATAAGATCACCCCTAGAGGAAAACATGATTTAGAACTGCGTCTACGCCATCCCGTGAAGCTGTAACAATATATAAAGGAGAAACAGGCTGTTCCCTCAAGATATAACTGCAGAGACATAATAAATCTGTAACACGAGCGGAAGTAGAAAAATTCAGTCATGGCTAATCATATATAAAGGGAAAAGGAAGGTCATCCCCCATCTATGGGATAAGGTTGAAATAATCGATAAGAACGTCACTGGAAAACTTAGGGAATCAGTGCAGAGATAACTCCAAAGCCGGCCAAACATAGACATGAATACAATATGGGAGGAATACAAAGAGCTAGAGAAAAAAAAACAATAACAAGTATTGTAATATGAGCTCTGGTAAAATTGGTTACTGAGACCTTAGGTTTATAATTCCCCAAAATTCATGTGCTGATGTCCGCAAGGACACATAGACAAGTGAATAAAAGCATTGGTTGAAGTAATGACCCAAAGTGACTTGACCCAAAGATTTTTGAATTCAAGACTTGGCAACAAAATTTTGGAGAGTTGAGTTACTAAAGAGAAATAACTAAAAACTGAGATATCCAGAAAAGATATGGCACATGAAACTAGAACAATCTTCGCCTGTGGACTAAATAAAGAGTTTGGTACGAAATTCCACCTGACGAAGGCCGAAACATTGTCAATATGTCAATAAAGATGAAGATAACAATCCGAACTAGTGTAAATAGCTACAATAACTCACCTCAGAAATATAAGCAAGGAATTGCATTTACTTTTTTGATTTAGGCTCGTATAATAGATACACGTTTGTTCAAATATATTGCTTAAGGCAAGTATCCGGTCTTCATGCAATCACCGAGGTTAAGCAGCGTCCAGCTTGGTCAGTGGCTAGATAGGTGACCGCTTAGGAAGATCAGGTGCTGTAAGATTGCATGTGCGCATGGTGTAATGGGTAACGTCTCGATATTTAAACTTGTATATGGCTTTTGGTCATATCACGTTGAAACACCGGTTTTCGTGCGATAACCGAAGTTAAGCAACGCCTGGCCTGGTCAGTACCTAGATAGGTGACCGCTTAGGAAAATCAGGTGCTGTAAGATTGCATGTGCGCGTGATGTAATGGGTAACGTCTCGATATTTAAACTCGTATATGGCTTTTGGTCATATCACGTTGAAACCAGGCTGGTTTAGTACGTAGAGGGGTGAACGCTAAGGAATACCAGGTGCTTAAAGGTTGTATGTGCGGCTGGTGTAATGAATAACGTCTCGAGACTGGAATTGGAGCACGGAGAGCCGAGTTCCAATTCCACTCGTACCTTTGGGAAAGTTATGAATAACACATCTTCTTCCCTTATATATGAGTTAACAAGTAGGATTTGTATTAGTAAATCATTATTAACTCAACCCCCCACCCCAAAAAAAAAAATTCTTAAAATCCAAAAATATTTTCTGGTTTTAAATAACCTGCAAAAGGTTTATAGACCGTATAAAATGAACCAATCAAAATGGCCAGCAGACGGCCATCCTTGCAGATTGATTGGCACAAATATTTTACCGCCTGATAGTTGCCCACTCTGATTGAGTTAACGCAGACATCTGACTAGCTAATATTTGCTTACTCTGCCTGCATTAACACAGATATCTGACAGGTTGACAGCTGTCCACTCAGATGGCGTTAATGCGGCCATCTGATCGACTGAACGCTGCGGAGACTAACTACATTAACACAAACATATGATATGCTGATGACAGTGCACACAGATCGTCTTAACGTAGACATCAGACCGGCTGGTGTTTAGCGAGTGTGATTTCTTTGGCGCAGACATCTGAATGACTAACAGCTTCAACACATATGACCGCCTGATGATTGGCCACTTGCTACGAGTAAGGGAGATATATGAGTGGCTGATGGCCATCAACGCAGATTATTTTAACGGAGATGACTGACCGCCTAATTGTTGAGCATTCAGATTGTGTTAACGCTGCCGGAGGATTACCCACTTAACCAAACATACGAATGTCTGAGCTATGCACGCAGATTATTTTAAAGTAAACATCTGACCGACTATTTTCCTTAACTGTTTTTGTCATCACAATATTTTAGCTGTCGAATCCTACTGCTTTCATCTTGTTGTTTAGATGATTTTGTTTAGCGGCATATCAATATCTCTATAGGACATTCAATGCCAAAATTGAAATATTTTGACCACAATTTTTTGGCTGCAACTAAATATATTTTTAACACAACTGTATGCCTTCAACTACAGATAAAATTTATAGTTAGTCGTTTTGCTATAAAATGTATTTTTGGCAATTTTGCTTCAAAATTGTATTGTTGGTAATTTTACTATAGATGTAATTGAAAATTGTGTTCAAAATATATTTAATTGAATCCATAAAATTGTGTTCAAAATAATTCAATTTTGGCATTAATTAACCTACAGAGGTTGATAGGCCGCTAAACATCTATGTTAGCACAATCTGAATGCTCAACAGTTGTTGGTAATTTTGGTATATAAAAATGTATTACTGGTATTTTTTCCTATAACCATATATTTTTATACTTTCATAATGTTTTTTTTTTTGCTTTCGCTATTTTCCCATATCTGGGACCCCTAACAGGTGCTACCACTCGTGTTGAGTTGGACTTGGGAACAACAGCAATTTAGAGGTGGTTCCATGCTCCTCAAACACTCCAATCTCTCGATCAGCGGCCTTGCTGCCGGATGTAGTTTATCGTCATACCCAGGACGAGAAGCTGTTTGTCGTTTTGGCTAATCTACAGGGATCAGGCTCTAAGAACTGGGGGAAAGCTGTCACAGGCCCTGAATAAGAAGAAGGACTACATCCCACGGACTAAGTAAAAAGAGCTGAATCAACGTTACCCCAAGCTGCCACATATGTATGGTCTCCTCAAATTTGATATTCCACAGAGACCTATAGTCAGCTGCAAGAGTTAGGCGTCTACCCGCTAACAAAATTCTTACAGGATTCCACTCGCATGGAAGTTCTCGTCACATATTAGAAAGAACACTTCGGGGTATCGATCCGATGAGCTTCCATCCATATCAATTGGGCAGTACCCTTGTTCACCAGAGTTCCTATGTATGGAACTCTGTTGAGGATGGTTCTAAATTGATTGGAATCACAACTCTCCATCAGGAGAACATACTAACATTCCAATAAATAAACTGATGAAAATATTGACGTTCAGTATAAAGACCTCATTCCACCAACCAGAGTTTCATATATACTAATAGAAGGAAGGTTTGGCTATGGGTTCGTCATTATCGCCAGTAATGGCAAACATATATCTGGAATACTTGGAGTAAATGGCTTTAGATACGTAGATGCTCCTTTTATGTCCTTTGCCAAAAAGCCTTACCAGAAAGCAATACAAATACAGCTGGACCATATATGGATTCCATAAGACCTTCGATCCTGTTCCAGAAGAAAATAATAAGCATCTAACCTCCTGGATTTTTCAAGACATCTGTATATTACAAGCGCATCTTGCTTTAAAATACTTTAATTTCAATGCCCAATCAAGCCGGACACTAGCTCATTTTCAATTAATACAGAAGGAAATGAATCGTTCGATGACTACAACACCGTAAAACTGTGTCTTTCACGTGCTAGGGCTTATCTAAAAAAAAACTGCTGCCCATACTTTTACTAAGAAAATATTCAGAAAAATTTCCACATAACAAATAAATCTCTAACGAGTCAAGCCTATCAAAAAGGGGAATATGACCAAGAATGTATGTATTCCATTCCTTTCAGTTGTGACAAAGAATATAAAAATGAAACTAACCGCCATTTTAAAAGAGGAACATTGAAAACCTGGAGGAACATCGAAAAGCCACAATTAGGAATGAGGCAATGAATTCAGGCATGGTTGATCATGTATGAAGGGAAAAGCCTAGCCATCAACCCAGTGAAAGGAAATCAAAATACTCTGCAACCCATAAGTTAGGCTTTGAGGACCCATTTAGTAAGCCTAGCATAGAAATAAATACGATATGAGATCCGTTAATAAAGAGAGAGATACAGATGACAGCAACTGTAGTTGACAGCAGCTGAAGTAGAAAGCCCGGTGAATGGAACCAAGTGTGATAAGTAGCAAAAGCAGCACTCATTAGCAGGCAGTCTAGGTTTAGGTCTCTAAGTTCTCCACAAAGAACTGTCCCACAGGACAATACACAGTCTATCAAAACATTGGTTCGCGGACTAGGTGATATAGTATTTGCGAATCCCAGCCTTGGACCGGGTAGTGTGTACTTGAACACAGGGTAAAAAGGGTGAGAATAACTGGTCAACTGATAGTTGCCTAACCCTTGTTAAAACAGGTATTTGACTCCCTTACACATGTAACAAAGACATGTGACTAGCTGATGGTTGTCCACGCAGATAACTCTAAGGCAAATATCTGATTAGATAATATTTAACAATTCTGTTTGTGTCATACGAAGACGTATGACTGACTTATAACTGTACGTTTACAATTAACTGCTGTTCTCACCTGACCTAAACCAATTCCACGAATCTTATTTTAAGTCTAAGACATCGACTCAAACTCGTAATCGATCCTGATCTGGTATGTCGACTTTCTGTTATGGGACCTTACCCATAATGGACTATTCCATACGTAATAAATACTGCGCCTCAAGAGGAAGCAGAGAGTGCAGTCTGAAGTCTGGAGTGTGGTCCGTCAGGAGTCAGTCAGTTCAGTCAGAGGCAGTCCGAAACAGAGTCGTGTTCAGATAATTACTACTAATCCTGATTGTTCGTACTAACACTTTCTACTTCTCTGTATATATTTCTGTTTGTAATATATCTGTGTTATTCCATATCCGTATTTGAGTTCTTCTTTATTGGTTCTACCTTGGACTATCACCGTGGTACAAGGAACCGGAGCATAACACTTTCTCATCAATGTGACGTGGCTTCCCTCTGTCTTTTCTACAAATATTTCCATGTCAGTTGTTCTGTTGACGTTTCCTCCTTGGTACCTTGACTACGGGAATTTAAGGGTGTCACGATACCATTTCAAGTTCAGTTTGGGACTAATCAAAGTCATCTTGGGACTAAGCAAGTTCATAAAGAAATAGCCAAGTTCAAAATGGAAACGTAGCAAAATGAGGCATAGAAAATTCCAAATAGGATGTAGCAAATTCAAAATGGAAAAGTCAAATTTAAATTGGAACATAGTATATCAAAATGGCACTAAGCAAATTTAAAATGAAATAGTCAAATTCAAAATGGAATAAGCAAATTTGATTTGGGACTTAGCAAGTTCAGAATGGTTTAGGCAAATTGAATTTGGGATTGAGCAATTATTTTGCTAAAAAAGACTTTAGAATTAAATATTTTCATGATAAAATAACAATTTTCAACTAAACTTTACTATTGAAATGTTTTATCTTCTACGAGCAATCAATAAATCAAGAAAATTCATGAATGTATGTTTTTTTTGGATGCAACTTTCAGCACCTAAAATCTCTCACTATGCCTATCTTTTTTCAAACTATGTCTTGATATATGCATTCAGTATTTTCTTGCTGCTTTTTCTTAGGAGTTTCGAAATTTGCCCTGTTGCCCCCCCCAAATCATTTCATTTTGAATAATTCTCTCTTATCCTCTCTTTTTTAAAACTATATACAGTCTATCCATCTCTGTCTTCTTCTGTTTTCCCTGATTGTCTTACCAATGAAAGTGCCAGAAACTCTAGCTTTGACACGAATTTATCCATTCAATAATAGCATTTTGTAAGAAATTGATAGTAAAATCTCCACAACGTTGAGCTCCGATTTTTAATTATCTGATTTGCCGCCCAGTTGATTTTTTAATCCATGATATTTCAGTATCTGTCTATTTTTCTGAGATGATGTATTATGTACACTATTTACATTATTCGGACTATTGTCCTCATCTTTGTCGCCATATTTAGTACAACGTTTCGGCCTTTCAGTATCTGTCTATATTTCTGAGATGAGGTATTATGTACACTATTTATATTATTCGGACTATTGTCCTCATTTTTGTCGCCATGTTTATCACAACGTTTCGGCCGTTGTACGCTCCAGCTTTCTTCAGG